ATCTTTCAGACGCCACAATACTTGGCAAGAATGCAGGAATGAACTAATTGTCTCCTGCAAACACCCCTCCACTTTTGCTCCTCCTTTATTCCCTCTGGGAGGAGCCATTCATCGTCCACCTGTGGCCTTACTCCCAAGTCGACCCCTGTACCTTTAGCTGATCTCTTCATCTGGCAACTCTACACATGTGCACACTGGGCACCCAGTTCCAGCTGTTCCTCTGCCTCACTGATGTCTGACTCTGAAGGCAGCTGATAACTGGCATACGGCCCTGGCCCCCTCTCTGCCTCCGACACAGAGCCCCTCCTCAGAGCCTTCCCCAGAGTCCAGGACTGGCCCAGGTTCCTCTCCAACCTAAGTCCTAAGTCACTGTCCGACTGTGCCCTCCAGCTTTGTTGACCGGTCACAACAACTGCTTAGAGAGGGCTGTAAATCACTGTGAAGTAGTATATAAATCTAAGTTCTAGACTTATATACCACTTCAGTAGCTCTATTGCTACTGTACATTGATGTACAACTATGGTTCCCAGAGTCATTGGTCATGGGGCAGAGAGTTTTCAATCAGTGCATGTTTCAAGCAAATCCCAATTTTCCAGATAGGTAATTCCAACTTGTGCGGAGATATTTTGCTACTGTATATTCAGACAGCTACTTCACTTATTCTTTGTGTTGCATCTGAAAATAGAGGCCTTTCCTCTCTTCCCCAACAGAGCCTCCAACCTGCTCCCCACAACAGTTCACGTGTTACACAGGAGAGATTGACTGCATCCCTGTGGCTTGGCGTTGTGATGGGTACACGGAGTGTGAGGATGCCAGTGACGAGAAGAACTGCCCCTTGTGCTCCGATTCCCAGTTCCAGTGTGAGAGCGGGCAGTGCATCGATGCCGCGCTGCAGTGCAACGGAGAACCAAATTGCCAGGATAACTCCGACGAAAAGAAATGTGAAGGTATTCCACGTCCCTGAGCAAAATAGGGATTCTTGCAGTTAGTCCTCGACTTACGGCCACAGTTGAGGCCAAAATTCCCAGTGGCTAAGCAAGACAGCCGTTAAGTCAGTTTTGCCCCCATTTTACAACCTTTCTTGCCACAGTTGTTAAGTGGATCACGCGTGTGTTAAATGAATAACACAGTGAATCTGGCTTCCCCCACTGTCTCTGCTTGTCAGAAGGTCGCAAAAGGGGACCGCAAGACCCCGGGACACTGCCACCATCCTAAATGTGAATCGGTTGTCGAGCATCCAAATATAAATCACGTTGACCGTGAGGAATGCTGCGACGGTCATAAATGTGAAACGTGTTCCTAAGTCACTTTTTTTCAGTGCTGTTATAACTTGGAATGTGAACTGTTTTAAGTTGAGGACTACCTGTAATTTGCTGGGTTCAGTTACGGTTGTTAAGTCAAGGATTAGTTGTAGTTGGCAGTGTTGTCCACTGAGGGGAGCTGTTGTGCATTTGTGGCCAGCAACTCCCTTTTTTGTTGTTGTTCCTTGGCAATGCAATTGTGGCATTGTTTGTAATGCTGGCATTAGCCTAAGCAGCAGAGGTTACTCTGAGGCCCACTTTCACCCCGAATACTGTATATACTCGAGTATAAGCCTAGTTTTTCAGCCCACTTTTTGGGCTGAAAAAAGCCGCCTCGGCTTATACTCGAGTA